TAATTTTGCATTAAATTTTGCATGGTCGCGAAAGGTATAGGTCTGTAGTAGCTAGTAAGTGTTACCATAATCTTATCTTTATTTTTTAATAAAGGGCATATTTTATTTACTCATAAAAACGCATCATGAGTGTACACATTCCTTTGTGCACACAAACAACTTCAATGCACACACAGAGAAAAAAGCTAGAAAGCGACCTCAAGAACCATCTATAGCAACCACCACTGATGACTAGCACACAAACCATAGATACATGCTTCAACAATGATGCCTCCATGAAGGGAATGATACTCAAGCGCCATTGTCGTTAGATCCACCACAAAGGATATATCTTGGGTTTTCACCCAGAAGAAGTCCAAGCAAAATCTAAACAATGCTTCCAACAAGGGAATGATGTGGAACATCACCGTTGCCAGGTATAACCTGTGCAAGTTAGACCTAGAGCTTTCATACCGAAGCTAGACTCTGGTACAGAGCATCACCAAACTTAAGTTACCGTTTACCGCGACCCTCACATTGATCGTGACGCTTCAACCTCCGTACACACTCACAGTCCTGACGTAGACTACGCAACTGGACATACCATATGTATACGGAAGTACATCAGAGCACACCACCAGCATCAACAAAGTCAACACGGTTGCCAAGAACCAGTGAAGGGGCTAAAACCGGCAGCCTCAAGTCGTCATCAGTGACTGGATGCAGGCTACAAACATAAAGCCGTCTGTGCCACTAAGAACCCGCATGGGGCCATCCGGCAGCCCGCCCTGTCTTCATCGAACTCAATAGGCTGTAGCTCAGGACAGGACGCTGAGCATCCAGGTAGGTAGAACTAGTAGGGAGGTCTGGTCGGAGCCCGAACACCCATCCTTTGCGGCCACGTGTGAAGCGCACGTCACCCAACCACTCCCACATGCATCATGTCTGCTGACAACGTGCACGAAGCCGAGTAACATGTCTCGTGAGCCGCCTCAACTGCGGGGTAGGTGTGCAGTCTGGTAAGTGTAAGTTAGTTTTTTAGTTCTGGCGTTTTAGCAAGGGGATGACACATGGGTCATGTGAGAGTTTTCCCCTTCAACAAGTATTCTTGGAGGCATGGATGCTAAGCAAGATCATACTAGAGTCAAGT